TAGTATTACATCCAAATAGTTATAAATGTCGTTGCATTTTAAGTTGATATTTAATAGTATTAGATTTAGGTAGAGTTGTCGTTTAATAAAGAATTTTATGTAATATGGCAAGATATCAATTTCGAATAGAAAATGGTAGAGTTTTCGTGTAATAAAAATCTACAAAATATAGGACTCAAAGTTGTACAACCCAGCTGCTTTTTATAGATATTAATTAATCTAATAACAATTATACATAAGTGTTTTAAATTGAAAATTTCTCTCGATATCTGACAATTCACAAAATCAATTGTCACTGTTTACACATCTTTAATCTGTATATAATTATCGAGTTATTCACATGACAGTTGAGATTATATATATTGATAAATTTTATAGCCCGTCAATAAATTTGTTATAAGTAAACATAAAAAGGTGTCAGAATGAGTAATACCATAAGAAATTGTTTAATATTTTGTAGAAATACTAATTAAAGACTAATAGTCAAATAAATGTAGCTTCCCGCATATATTTGGTAGATAAAAATCGTAAAGCTCTACTGTGTGGAGAAAATCAGACACTGCGAAAACTGTTAGTGGGGAACGACCAGTAACTACGTGCGTAAGTAACTACATATATTTTGGTCTATCGTACTCCACATCTCGTGCCATGACAGCGAATATTTGTACACGAAAAATTCTATTATTAAACAATTTTCACAAGAGAATAATAATTAAAGCTCCAATAAAAATGGTTTCACAAAAAGCTTACGACTGAGTATAAAATAAACAATTACCATATAATTTATTTTAGAAATAAGTTAGTTCGCTGCAAGTGAAAATTAAATTTTATTACAAGTAAAATGAGCTCGAAATTAATACTTTATGGTGTCTATATGAGTCCACCGGTGCGTGCCGTACTCCTCACACTAAAGGCTCTAGAACTAGACTATGAATTCAAGGAAATCAACGTAGCTGCTGGTGAGCACTTGCAACCAGAATATTTGCAGAAAAATCCACAACACACTATGCCACTTCTTGAGGATGATGGAAAATGTATATGGGACTCGCACGCCATTATCGCATATTTAGTACGAAAATACGCTAAAGATGATTCTTTGTATCCGAAAGATTTCTATGAACGTGCCGTAGTGGATCAACGCTTACATTTTGAAAATGGTGTTCTTTTCACTGCATGTATTCGACAGCTAGTTGCTGTTGTATTCCACGGCCGCCCACTAAGGAGGTAGTGGCTGAACGTATAAAAGCTATTAATGAGGCATACGAAACACTGGAAAAATTTTTCGGTGATCACGAATATTTTGCCGGAAATAAATTGACAATCGCTGATTTCAGTATTGTATCGTCGGTATCATCACTGGCACCGATATCACCAGTGGACGTAAGTAAAACTCCAAAACTGGCTGCATGGTTCGAGCGTATGAAAGAGTTGCCATATTATGAAGAAGTTAGCGCTGTTGGCATACAAGCGATTGTCGAGAGAATACAGGCTAAATTAGCTGATTTAAATTGATTTTTAAAAATTTTTATTTAAAGTATATTTAACATAATGATAAGATAAAATAATGTTGAAGTAAAACTAATAATTAAATGCGATAATGTGCTAGTAAATAAAAACTAACAAACAAATTTAATTAAATGAACTCTATAAGGTGTTTTAAGTTGTTTGCATATATAAGAAATCACAATGATAAGATAGATTCAATCTGAATTATTTGTTTATTTTATATAAATCAGTATAAAACATATAGTTATAATTATAAGAAAAAAAATGATAAGAAGAAAATGCTGAGTTGTTGCATTTCACAGTGTGTATTTCACGGGTAATAAAATTATATATTTTAATTTCATCTAATCTAATGATATCGATCTTTAATAGCAAGGTTTCTTTGTTATTACCTCACCTATTCAAGAAATAGATAGACTTCTTTATTTAAAAATTATTTTTATTTTAGTTTGACGTAACCTATTTGTATTATCATAACCGGCCATTATTTGAGCTTAAGTGAACCTTAGTTCAAAAGTCCATCTCTCCAACCTCACCTATCTGCAATACATATTTATGAGTAAATCTTAGATTCGACTCTATCTATTTTCCGCATATGCTTATGTATGAGAAATAATGTTTTTGCATTACAACCACTTTTCTTATTTTTAATTAATATATCTACAGTCGTAAGTTAGCCAGGTATATTATATACCTATTAGGTAAAGTATAAAGTTGCTAATGGAGGGATAAAAGAAAGAACGATATATAGTTATTATTTGCATATAAAATATTTCTTTGATAAGAGACATTAATGTGCAAATTTTAGGACACTACATGGCAAAATTGGTATATATATATCGCAAGTGCTTTTTGTATAGCATGGGTTTCTTATCTAAAAAAATAACATATTTTGAATTTCAGTACAAGATTTCTTCATCAGTAGTACTTATAGTGAATCCCTATAAGAAGCTTTAACAGAAAGTACATTTGAGTTCTGAAACTGCATATCAGATAAAGATACTACTCTGAGTGAACCTTCTAAGAAAGTGTTTATAGAATATAGAAGAACATTCAATATCACTGTTTTCTTCATCAATAGTATTTTTTAAATCTCTATAAGAAGCTTTAATAGAAAGTAAAGTACATTTAAATTCTGAAACTGCATATTAGACAAAGATACTACTCTGGGTGTACCTTTTAAGAAAGTGTTTATGGAAGAATATTTAAAGTTATAAAATTCTGATCTCGATGAAATGAAAAGAAATTATTACTTATTTTTGTATAAGCTCACTTTTATTTATTAATACATAAACTAAAGCAAATTAAATAATCAAATTTTATATACAGTATATTAAGACAGGTGACGATGTTTATAATAAAAGATATATTTTTTTTGTATATTTTACTATATAGACGTTAAATAACCCATTTTAAAATAAAGTCACAACAATAAATATCTCAAATAAAAAGTCTGTAGCTAATATATGAACAACAAGTTAAAGAGCTTCAAATTATTTATTAGGATTGCTAAGGAAAGGTGCTCAAAATTTTATTAAACTCTAAAAATAATATTTTTATATATTTATTTATTATTGATTATAAATAATAAAAAATTTTAAAAAATAATTTTATTCATTATTGCAAATACAATGGTTACATATCGATACATAGAAAAAATATCGATAGTTGAAATATCGATAGAAAATAATTAAAAAGTTGATAAAATTTAAATCTAATAACCGATTACTTTTTCTAAATATTCACTTAACATTTTCTTACACTAACTCCAATAACATTTCATAATAGAAAGCGATATTTTCGTATGGTGATCAGTCACTATTTATCAGCTTTGGATCTCGCACTATTCTATTCTGCGAATATAGAGACTGAGTGTTATTATTTTTAAATTCATAAAAACATGTTAATTTGTTAATAAAACTAAAAGTTTAGATACTAAATATTTAACACTTTCTGAAAAAAATAAATCTTATTTTGTAAAAATCACAATTGAACTAAATTTTTGTTTTGAAATAAATTAATTATAAAAATATATTGAAAATAAGATTTCTTATGAACAAATATGGCGCTTATATTAAATGATAATGGGTTCATAAGTATCTAATATCGAAATGACAAGTTTATATATATCTTAAATAACATCTTTCCAATTTTTGATTTAAAAAACATTTCTATTTTATTATATGGTTACAATTAGATTATAGTGGTGAAATATTGGAGTAGCTTAAAACACTTTTTTGATCATCTCACTAGATTTTTTACCAGCACTGAATTAATTATTCAGTAGAAACTATTATTATTGTAGAAACAAACAAAGATGGGATGATACAAGAATATTTTGATGTAATAACATGTAAATTTGTTACAAACAGATAAATATATTTAAAACAAATTCCAAAAAGGCTTTGACTTAGTTGGTTAAAGTGCGCTGACTCTGAGCTTCAAATTTGGCAGGACTCGAGTTGGATTCCTGGTACTTACAGTCTCAAACAATATTATTAACAAATAATTAAATACAAGAATTATTTTCAAGACCACTGATGATTGGTATTTGACAATACTCGAAACACCTGTATGGTCAGTCAAAAATTCAATTAATTAAAATAATATAAAATAAATATTTGTTGTTGTAGTTCACTACTGTTCAAAAAACCTTTTTAAAAATAATTTAGAATATGTAAACCTCTATCATTTTGTTCTTTTTTCAGGTTAGCCTACCTTGTGCAGTCTTTCTTGGTCAGAAGTTCCTGACTTACCACTTTAAGCTTCTACATCGCTACCAACAATATGAATTCTAATGGATTCAATGACTTCATAAAAAAATTTTTTCATAAAATCGATATAAAATAATTGACGTTAAATTTGACTTTATTTTATATATATATATCAACTGTTTTCAAATATTAAATGCAAGATACGAGTACATTGGAATAAGCTTATCGAAGAAACGCAATCAATGTATTTTAACAGCATTTATAAATCTACGACCTAAATGTGTTATTTCGAAAAGGGTGCTCTGGTTAAATTACATTCTTCCATTAAAAATGTTAGTTGAATTATAGGTTAAACAAATAAATGTACATTAGTATCTGTATCTAGAGTAGGACAATTAATCATACATAGTTTGACCATTAACAACACTTTTTTATATTTTATGCTACTGTTGTCTTACTAGGAACTTAATTACCTGAAGGAAAATTCTATTTAATATTTAATAATACACAATTCTATAAACCAATGT